TTGCATTACTTAGACGTTGAAATTGCAGAAGAACATCTTTTATATGATGTAGCATTCTCGTTACCGTGGTATCTTTTGTTCCGTCATGAATGCACCAGTTACTTGTCAAGGAGAATGCTTGTTTTACTTATAAATAGATTTATTAGGCTTTGTTATTGATATAGAGCCCAGAAAATTTTAGGGAGTTGATAGAATTGAACCTGAAGATTTCCACTATTGATCTGTTGGTATTTTTAGAGCAGCAGTGCCACTGTTGCTGAGGAGTATAAAGATCGAGAGACAGGGTTCTTTTACAAAGAATGGGAGCTCTAAGACTAAATAAATTAAGCTTCTGACAAAAAGAAAAAGTAAAAAAAGAAAAAAAACCAACGAAGGAAGTTGTCGCTGTGACCTTGATGAGCTGCCAACTAAGTTTTAGTCTGCAGCCGTCTAAACAAATTTTTTTCGGTGATGTCACTTGAAAACAAGGATTGGAGATTATGTAACATGGAGAAACAAGTGGGCTGATAGGGTTGTGGTCTTGTGTTTTAATGCTCTAGGATCAGAGATAAGGCATATTATATTATTTCTGAAGCCTGTCCATTAAATCAATCTAGGCTTTTAAGTCCGTAGGCGGCAGTGGTAGAGAATGCAGCTAAAAGAGAGGTAGATACACAGTTTTTAACCCTACCAGGGCTACTGATCTCTCTTAGAACTCTCTTTCAGCAGAAGTTGTTTTGTTTTCAAAGGCAAAGAAAAAAAAGTAAACTAAGCACTTTGAAATGCATCGTACATGCTCATGATGCTGCCAGAAGAGATTGCACCGAGTTTTGTATACATAGCATTCCTTACAGACTTGGCTGGCTGGTTGAGGGTTAGGCACAGTGAAGATGTGTGCCACTTGTTGAATTGTAAACAAAAGATAGGCTCAATGATCTACTTGATGCATGGCGAACTCTCTTAAAAAAGCTTATAAGTTATAAGAACTTTCGTTTTAGTTAAAAAATTTGTAGCAGTTTCAAGTTTTTTGTCTTTACAAAAAGTTTGCATGGTTGTTTAATAAAAGTATGTACCTGGTAAGATTAAATTTCACTTTTTAAAAAGAAATAGATACTGAATAGATGTATATTAATATACTTTCTTATTCAGTATCAACAAAAGAAGAAAATTGAATGTTGAGTTTTAAAAAATCATGTATACATACATGTATACATGTATACATTCAATTAGTAAGAATTTATACTAAGACTATTACTTGGCCTTGACTAACGTTCTTTCCCTGTCTGCAAGTACAAATTGGGTTTGTGAGGCAGTTGTAAGACGTAAATGTTGCAAAATATAACTGTTCAGATGTGTCGGGGAATCATAGGAAAGACGCTGACAGGCAACCTATGTCATTTTTGTACTATGTTTACTCCGGAACAGGTGATGGATGATGGCATTTATTGTGAGGTATAATGATGAACACAAATTAAAGTCATGTTGGCACAGACATTTCAAAACTCATAAAATCCATCATACTCGGTCTGGATAAAATGGAACAGTGTATTATGGCCTGGTGTATTATTGCCACTGTGAAAGGATTCCTGTTGTACCAAAGGTCATGGCCACAAATCACTTAATGTCAGATAGAGTTACCTCCCTTTGGATACTAAATGTAGCCTGTAATGTTTTTATCTTTACCGAATGATGCAACAGTTTGTAGTTTTATGTTGTTAGCTGATGCAATGTTTACATTTGTAAATAATAGCTACTGGAATGCACATTAGATAAAATATTCTGGTCCCTAGAAAAAATATAGGCCATGTACAAAAATAAATGTAAAGAAATCGATCAAAACAATGACTCATCACTGTATAACTGGGGCCTCTTAGATTAATGATTTGGGTTTATATATTTTTGCCAGAATCAATCTCATGTTTTCTGCATAGTCAGAACAGATTGGGAGCAATGAAGGACTTAAGATTGGAGGTCAGGCATACTGTATTTTCCGTTAAGAAGGTCACTTTCTACGCAGTCCACTTTGCAGCTTGTTTATAATTTTGTTTATAATGATAAAATGCCTCAAGGGAGAGTTAAAGAGAGGCATTCACAAAGGTGTGTTGTTTACAAAATAAAATGAAATTTTTTATGTGCCACGGGTTAACATGGAGGGCAGAGGGGGCATATTGTAATTTCTGCCTGAAAAAGTTTGAATAATGATTTCTGCACATTACACCGACACAAACTATTTATTACTTTTTTTGACCCAGCGTTTCATGAAGATTGGTAAATATACAAACAGATTTAGCTCAGGAGAGGGTGAAGAATTGTTTTAATAAGATGAAGGTGATGAAATAATTTATACACACCATGAAACATGTGGTATATATATTCTTGATGTGTCTTCATCAGAGATAATTTACTGCAGGTTGCAGATTATCTGACTTGCATGTGAATCAGCTTTGTGCATGTATAAATGTAGGAGCTTCTGATGCTGTTCTCTTAACATGGCAAGTCAGCTCTGACAACAGGTACTTTTGCCTCCTTGTCCAGCTGATATAAGATTTTTAGATTGAACATAACAAGGGCCATATAGATTAAGGTTATTTTAAGTTTTTTTCTATGTCTAATGTCTCTGTGTACCTTAATTGGTTTTTGACACCCGGCCCATTTCAGAAAAAAACCCAAACAGAATCAGGAGTCCTAAAATTGTTTATTCTGGTCAAAATCTTTGGATAGTGTGTCAGTTTTTCTATACATGTATAATTCTCTGCAATATGTCATAATTAAGGAATATATTGAGCATTTAATACCTTGATTTTGCTGAGGAAAAGATCCTTCTGCAAGAAAAATAGATAAATGAAATGAAATCCTTTGAACAAATGTTGCAAACATTTAGTTTACTGAAATACCATTTTGATCTGGTTTACTCTTGTATACACCTGTTACATTGAACAACATTCAGCCCAATGAATTTTTAAAGATTTTAAAGGTACATAATTGTTTTCAACAGAGTTTGTTTAAAAAGGTGACATTGCTTTTTTTATATATTAACTAAAAATAGTTTTATTTGTGGATATGTAAAGAACTTCCTACTACAAGCTGACAATTAAAACAAATGCCAACTCATAAATTGAGGTGGTTTTTTCTTTTTTTTTTTTTTTTTTTTTTTTTTTTTTTAGAAATTTCATTACTGTTGCCTATGTGGTGCAGTGGTTTGAATGTTTGTTCCAGTGTTGTGCAGTTTGAATCCCTCTGCAGAACTGGGACTACTAGGTTCCTTGTCACAGTGGGTGCTGGCACGAAAAAAATCCCTCACTGCTCAATGGTTCTCAGTGTGGAATATGGGTCTAGATTTGCAGTCCTCCACCAGCAAGTGGTGGCTTCTCAATAGGAGTGTAAAATTCGGGAAAGAGACTTTAAACAACATACAAACATAATCTATTTACTACGTGCTATACTGTATTGTATTGTGCCAATTTTTGACTCCAAAGACAACAATTATACAACTACAACTTGCTTACATGTTATATAAACATTTTGGTAATAAGAAGTATTATTTCAGCTTACTGGGGTGTTGGTGCCTTTCATTAAGGAAATGTGTCATAACACAAGAAAATAATGACACCTCCCTGCAGGTGGTTTGTTCATTAATTGACTTGATTCTTTAATCTTTTTAATAAAGGCTTGTTTATATCAGGACCTGTAGGCAGCTTGAAGCACCCCCAGAACAAAACTATTGATTTTGTGACATAAGGCCCTTTGATAAAGTGTTATTAGAGGTTTGTTTATGTTATTGAGACCCAAGACAAACCCATGATTATATAGTGGAGGACTTTTCCTGTCTATAAGAGATGGATCCCAAATGTTTTTGTCCATAGAACTGTAGGGCGTAGAGATTGTCTTGCCAGTGGGGTATATTTGATTAATAAATCCCAGCTTATCCAGCTGCATGGGCAAAATACATGATTGTAAAGATATCAGTATTAGTTTATTTCTTATAGTAAAGTTTGTAAATCAAGATTGTGTATTCCAGTTTGTTGAACTTTGAAAAGAGAGAAATTACACTCCAAAAAATAATAATATCTACCAATACATGTTTATAATTAGTAATTTCATGTCAACAATTTGCTAAAAGACTTCCAAAATCAGCTTTACAAAAATGGATTTACAATGAATTATATAAGCTCCGTTTACATGCCGAAATATACAAGGATCAGTAAATTTACTCATATGCAAAAGTAAATTTGCATCTTGTCTTGAGTAGGTGCAAATTTACAATGGTTGTCTATTTGCACAAATGTATTTTTACTTTTGCAAATATGCAATTGTGTTCACATTTACACGGGTGTCCAGATCAATTTTGCATGCATGCAAAATTTATCAACGAATGTGAATGGAATTCAGTCATGCAATTATAGACTTTTGATTATGGATCTGAATTCAAATTGCTAGATGTAGAACTATGCACATGTTTTAGAAGAGAAACATACTGGGCACAAATTCTGCATTATTCGCTTGAGTGAAAAATATTTGTGTAATTTGGAGACTGAACAAATTTTACAGGTATCTGAGGCTTCCATCATTGGAAAGAAAAAAATCGCCTGTCAATTAATTAGCCAGCTGTGCCTTTGGTGTCCTGTTATAATGTGATATATGTCTTAATTTGCACCCTTTATTTTCATTAACACCTTCTTTAATTTTTCACAGGATATATGAGAGTTAAATTACAAGAAAGTAATGAATTTGTCTCACATAAAACAAACCTAATTAATAAAATCTTGGAAGATGTTAATAGAGTGTAATGAATATTATGTAATGTTCCCTTCAAGGAAGACCAATCTAAGTGCAGGGAACTGTGACAGGTCATTAATTGACTGGTGTTTCTTTGGTATAGAGAAAAGTTATATAACTTTAGAGATGAGGTTTTTGTATCTTTATGGAAGACATTAAGAGGAAAAATCTTCCTCATGTATGTAATTAATTCACCCCAGCTAATCTATACTGTCAAGCTGAATAAATATTTCTTGCTTTGGTAGATGGCGATTGTAAAGGAAAGGCATGAGAACTGAACTCTATTGGAGAGACATCATGAGGGGAGGATTTGATGGGTGATGATGTAACATTACCACCATTCTTAACTCCACCAAAAGAAGAGCCAGCTGGAGATCTAACCATTAAGGGGTAATGACCCATGTACTAGAGAGATAAGGGTGACAACTCTGCATGCATCATTAATGGACCCACTTTGCACCTCCCTACATTGAAGATTTCCATTACTGATAGAATAACTCTGACTATAGGCTAATTATTAGGACTTGATGGGCTCTGGACCAAAAGTGAGAAAAACAACAAGTTATTATTGAAACACTCTTTGATGTTTCTTTTTAAATTACAATCTACAGGTATTAATTTTACTTAAAGACTTGGGTATGAAAAAAAGCAATAGATCATTTAAAAGGCTACCTATCATGCTGCATACTGTTTAGTTTTCACAAAAGCTCTGTTTGCCTTTTCGCATGAGGTAAAATAAAATAATAAAGCGAAATAGTAGGCCCAGAAAAGTCTAGACCAGGCTTTCTTTTAATCTTTCATAGGGTGCAGTGAATAGTAGGTATAGTGCACCATGTTTGTCTAATTTCTTAATTTGGATCTTCTGAAAATATAATTTATCATTGTCAAACAGGAGTATTGCATGAAATCCTGACAAGTTTTCCTGTCAGTGATTATACCAGCCAGTAAATATTGTTACGAGGTGAAGGTCCTATGTATATAATGCTCTGTCCGTCACTCTTGTATTTATCTTTAAACCTAACTGTCACTCATTCTACCACTCAGAGCTGAAAAGTGACGAAACTAATAATGCTTCATTTGAATAATTGAATTTGTATTTCCTACATGTGTGGAGAGCATTAGAGGAGGCCAAATTTCAATAGTATTTATTGATGGGTCATTAATTGACAAGGGAGAAATCTATTTTGTATTGGACATGGGGTCCTGATGTTATACTAGCAGAGAGTTATGCACAAAAGGCATGATCAGAGAAAAAGGACATGAGAAACTATGTGATGTGCATACCAATTTTGATTAGGAATTTTCTTCATCCTTAATGATGTATGAAGAGATAGCAATTTAAGCCTTTCAGGAGAGGAAGTGTTATATTTATAATTTGAGATAAATAATTATAAACTTGCATATAATTAATATGTCAAGATTTGGTTCTCATATTTGAATAATTTGGTGACAGTCATTTTGTAGACCTCTGCCTTTAGGTCAAATGACCATCAAAAGTAGTGACCTGTGCTCTGAGAATAGAATATGTTTGTTGATTTAAAGCAGGTTTTAATAAATGTGTTTAAGGAAAATGCCTCTTATCAGAAATGACCCAGAGTCTATCTCTGAGAGGCCAAACCCCTCAGTGTTGACTTGTAGAACCTTGAAATGCTGATCTTTAATGAGCCATCTTCACATATAAATTTTATGGATTTAAACTTCTTCCCAATTTTAAGCATTATATGTCAGAATTTTTGAAAATAAATACTATAAATTTTTTTCATTTTTACAGTTTTTAGCAGTATGTTTAAAGATAGGCAATTTGATTTATGTATAGTTCTGTTTTTTTAGAGGAACTTTAGTATCTGGAAGTTCGATCTTGTATATTCTATGGAAGGGAATTACCGCCAAAAGTCTATGTATCTTGCTTTTATTCTTATTCTGCCTACTTCTTTATGCTTTGTTATTATTGTAATTATATGTCACTTTGTTGTTTTTATATTCGTCTTTATTACATTTCACTTTGACTTTTATCCCTCTTCATTTTGCCCTTACTTCTATGGCGCTTTATTCTTGTAAATTCATTTTACTTTCTTTTAAATTGATACAGTTTCTTAAATGATTATAACTATTACGAACGTTAACTCAATCACGCAAACAATGAAGCATATTCAATGAAGACGAATACAAGTTATCCGAATTTAGTGCCGCATTATAACGCTAGGTGGCAGGGGTGTTCGCTAAAAGTGTTGGTAAAATTAGGTAAGCAAACCCGTGCCGGGGTTTTTCGACTTTTTTCAATTTTCTGCCGTATTCATAAATCAAACTTAAATTTTTTTTAAGACTGATGTTTGCTATAAGTCCAGGTATGTACCCGATACATGCCATTCCATCGGAAGTCTCGCTAGATGGTAAGATTTCCCCTGGAAGACTGACTACATAGTGATGCTTCCTTCGGAAGACTATACAGTGGGACTCCCCCCGGGGACGTTTCAATATATAGCTAGTCTTCCGTGGGAAATCTCGCTATATATAGCAATTCGCCCCCATTCCTAGCAATGCCTCCCCCGAATAGTTTTTTAGCTCACCTCAACGAAGTTGGGGGGAGCTTATGTGATACCCTCGGCGTCGGCGTCGGCGTCGGTGTCGGCGTCGTCGGTGTCGGCGTCGGCGTCCCAGGTTAAGGTTAAGTTTTTTGGAGCAGTTTTCTTTTTAATTACTTCTGTGTCCTATATTGATTAGACATGCATGGAAGATGGTTTTAGTGTGTTTTATTGTACCAGACAAAGTTTCAGATGCTGCAATTTCAGCAAAGGAATGACCAGGTTAATGTTTTTGGAGCAGGTTAACATTTTTGGTGCAGTTTTTGGTGCAGATTTCACTTCCAAGTAACTATAATCCCTATGTTGACCAAACTTGCATGGATGATACATCTAAGGATGCATACTACCGGGTTTGCTTCGGATGCTGAATCTGACCTACATTTTCCGGTTGAGTGAACAGGTTAAAGTTTTTGGTGTAGGTTTCATTTCCAAGTAACTATAAGCCCTATGTTGACCAAACTTGCATGGATGATACATCTAAGGATGCATACTACAGGGCTTGCTTCAGATGCTGAATCTGACCTACATTTTCCGGTTGAGTGAACAGGTTAAAGTTTTTGGTGCAGGTTTCATTTTTAAGTAACTATTTATCCCTATGTTGACCAAACTTGCATGGATGATACATCTAAGGATGCATACTACCTGGCTTGCTTCGGATGCTGAATCTGACCTACATTTTCCGGTTGAGTGAACAGGTTAAAGTTTTTGGTGTAGGTTTCATTTCCAAGTAACTATAAGCCCTATGTTGACCAAACTTGCATGGATGATACATCTAAGGATACATACTACCGGGCTTGCTTCAGATGCTGAATCTGACCTACATTTTCCAGTTGAGTGAACAGGTTAATGTTTTTGGTGCAGGTTTCATTTCAAAGTAACTATAAGCCCTATGTTGACCAAACTTGCATGGATGATACATCTAACGATGCATACTACCTGGCTTGCTTCGGATGCTGAATCTGACCTACATTTTCCAGTTGAGCGAACAGGTTAATGTTTTTGGTGCAGGTTTCATTTGCAAGTAACTTTAAGCCCTATGTTGACCAAACTTGCATGGATGATATATCTAAGGATGCATACTTCCAGGCTTGCTTCGGATGCTGTATCTGACCTACTTTTTGTGGATGAGTGAAAATGTTAGTTTTGATGCATGTTTCATTTCCAATAAACTATGAGCCCTATAATGAGCAAACTTGCAAGGATGATACATCTAAGGATGCACACTAATGGACTTGCTTCGGATGCTGAATTGGACATACATTTTTCAGATAATAGACAAGGTAAAAGTTATGGTTGCAGGTCTATTACCAAAAACTATAAGGTTTACATAACATTGTATAAACCAAACTTGCACAAATGCTGCATCAAGAGATGAAAACTCTCAAATTTGCTTCAGATGCTGGATTTTCATTACATTTTCATGAAGATGAAGTAGTTTAAATTTTTATGTAGGTCTATTTCAAAGTATCAGATCAAAATTGCTTTTAAAAATATTTTCATTTTTGGAATGTATACTTTTTGTTGGTTAATTTTGTGACTTTGCCTTACTTAAAGACAACATTCGTTGAGGTGAGCTCTGTAATCTCTGATTACCTATGTTTTTAAATCGTAAAACAATGTTTATATATAATAACGTTTTCAGTTTTTGAAGAAAATTTATCCGTTCTATCAGGGACCTATATACTATACTAGTATATAGGTCCCTGGTTCTATATGAATAAATATTTAAATAATATTATTTTAATAGTGTTTTATAATTAAATCATTTTAACCATTTAGTTAAACATAGATAATCTTCAAGGGTACATATGGATAATTTCTCGCCGCCCCCCCACCCACCCCCTTGGATGCAGTCGCCCGCGTGGCACTGTGGTTACGGCGTCTGCTCTATAAAGAGTCACGAAGTACAGTAGTAAGGAGTCGACCAACATGTCGTGGGTTCGAATCCCACTATAGGATGTGGAGTTCGGTCCTTCGGATGAGATCTAGACCGTATTATCCGAGGTCCCGTATCGCAGTAGGTGCTGGCACGAAAAAAGATCCCTCACTGCTCAATGGCTACAAGTGCCGAGTATATAGAACAAATTTGCAGCTCTCCACCGGCAAGAGGTGGCTTCTCCATTTGAGTGAAAAATTCTCGAAAAGAAAATTATACAATGTACAATCACACCACCAAAGTCTCAATATATATTCTGACTTCCGGGTGGACGACCTCCTATGAGGTAAGTTTCATCGGTAGAGGGGAGGGTGGCCAAGAAACATTTTCCTAAACGTAACTTTTTACTACGGGAAAAGTTCAGCGAAAGGCTTGTTGCCCCCCCCCTCCATCCCTTACAGTTTTTGTTGCAGTACTAATAGTCAATCTATATATAATAAAAGTCATGTACTTAGTGGCATATGAGTAAAATTTATCTTTGAAAAAAGTTGACGACCCCCCCCCCCCCTTCACCACCACCAAATAGAATTTTCGAGTTTTAAGATTTTTTTTAGCTCTCCCGGTTGATGGCAAACACAGTGCGTACTAAAGATATTTCTTTCTTTATTGAAAAGTGCTATTTTAATATAAAATATTAACGCAGAAAAAAAGAAAAGGGTGTTTCAAGTATGCCTTGGTGCATGTAGTCTGGTTCCGACTTCGCCTTCAATGCGCAGATCTAGAGGGGGGTAGGACCCTCTGGAATTAACAAGATTACTAAAACAAGGAAAAAAGTTACCCCCAACCCCCATCCCACCTCCCACGAAATAGAATTTTGACGTTTGAGCGAGTTTAGGTTTTTTCTTCTTTTTATGCTTGTCAAGAAATTTCTG